GTGAGGCTGCATACTCTTTCTTGGCATCTTCCCATGGTCCATAGCTGCTCACCTATGTGCTCACAGGAAGGAGCCTGGCAGGTAGCGCTGGGTACATGCACACTTGGCTGTCTGAGCAGCTGGTAACAAATGTTGAGAGCAACTGTTTGCATCTGTCATTCCATCCCCCACCCTTGTCCCCATCTGAGAGTAGTTATGTTAGGACACTTCCTGTCTCCTGGGGTGTTTTTGTCAGACAAACTTAAGCAGACCTGTGTCCATTATTGCTCAGGTCTATAAAATGTTACCACATGTGGGATTCTTAGAACTTCTCACTAATAGGACAGCTGATGAGTTCTTCCCCATTTACTCCCATCCACGTTATGTTTCAGTAGACTCATTGAGCTAAGCACTGCTGAGAGAGAGCTGCCTTAAATGTAGTCCTTGCCACATCATTTGGCCTGAACCTTACATTGAATATTATTTATTATTCTGCATGATTCTGTGTTTAAAACTAAAGCTTCCAACCCCGTGAATGTAATGGCTTATGCCAGTAATCACAGCAGGTGGGAGGCAGAGGCAGGAGGATTGCTACAAGTTTGAGGTCAGCCTGAGCTACATGACTTGAGAACTTCTCTTTAAAAAAGCAGCGGGGTTCGTCTGTCTAACGCTTCTCGTTGGCTCTAGTACTTGGAATCGGACGTTGCTCATCAGTGCCCAGATACGATCTCTTATCTTAGAAATGAAAATGTAGATCTGCTGTTCCTAAGTGACTCATCCCTTAGCCGTAGCTGCTCCCGGGCTGATGCGCTGTCTTACCATGGTTCTCTTCCTCATTCACCCAGCTTGTCCGTCTTGCTGGCTTAGGTATTGTAATGTCCACAGTCCACACTGGGTTTCAGTTTTAGTTCTCAAAAATAAAATGAAAGCCATTATCAAACCAAGATTCGGGTAGGGTGGAATTACTGAATTAATTATAGAGATGTACCTTTCTCCTGATTTTTAGATTCTGTTTGTTCACAGAATTTTAGTATCCTACCTTTTGTTGCATTAGTTTTTCCCGTAGATTGTTAAGGAACGTTCTCTATCTGGAATGAAGTAGATAAATACCTGTAAAGGCTAACCATTTTATAAGTGATCCAATTTGGAAATACCCTGGATTTGTAATACAGCCTGACAAAACTATGGGACAAGGTCATGTTGTTACCTTTTCTGAATTTCAAATGTTAGAACATGGTGCCAAAAGTTGTGTATGGAAAATAAAAATTGTGGCTTTTATTACTGCTCAAGACACTGTTAGTAGATGGAATATTGAGAGAGAAAAGACTTCTGCCTAGAAGTCTCTCTGGGGACCAGTGTTCTTCCCTGGTATGGGGTGAGTCTTGGTGCCTCCTGTTCCTCATTCCATGGTTAATTTTGATCAGAGTCTTAATATATTTGGTCTTTATCTTCATTAATAACCCCAAGCCTTCTGTCATTCTGCCTCTTAAGTGGCTGTTCTGTTTCCATTCCAGGACCCGGATGATGTGGTTCCAGTTGGACAGAGAAGAGCGTGGTGTTGGTGCATGTGTTTTGGACTGGCCTTCATGCTTGCTGGTGTCATCCTCGGAGGAGCATACCTGTACAAGTATTTTGCACTTCAGGTAAATAGAAAAATATATTTAAAATTTTTTTACTACATTTATTTACTTACTTATAGGGGAGGGGACATGGTCAGAAGACAGTTTGGGGAGCCGATTCTCTCCTGTTACTTTGTGGGTCTTAGGGATTGAATTCAGATTATTAGGCTTAGTAGCTAGTACCTTTACCCACTGAGCAGTCTTGCCAGCTCTGCAGAAATTATTATTGTTTTTTTGGTCTGAATTTTTCTTTCCTTTTTCCTGTGAATTAGAATGTGGTCCCGCCTTGCTCTAAGCTTGTACTTTCTGTCTATAGCCAAATGGTTGGACATGGATGATTTTTCAAAATGGACTTTCATCTTCCTACCACAGTTAATAGTAAAGAGAAAGATCATGAATTGCCACTTGTATGAATATATAAGCTCCAATGTCGACAGACCCATCCCTGGACAGCCACTACCTGCCAGCCCTTGCTGTTGCTGTGTCTAAGAGTGTCAGACACTCTTGAGTGACTTGCAGAGATGACAATGCCACTTGGTGAAAGTTGCCTGTATCTTAGTGTTTATAGTGCTCTCGGTGTGATAAGACATTGATTCCACTTAATTATAATTTATGCTATCATCTCCTCTAAACCCACTTTTAAGACTACTTCACATGTTTCCAAGTCGGGAGAAATGCTTCAAAACTAGATTTTAAAACTAATGTTGACGTCTTCTTCTAGAGGTTATTTGGAGTCCATGCTCGCTTTTAGTCTTAGTCAAGATAAAGGCAGACTGAGAAACATTTCTGGGCTAATAGGGTAAAAGTGGGGTTTCTTATTTTAAAACAGACTTATGTAGACAAGTCTGACATAAACTTTTGGTCCCACTGCCTCTGCCTCATATACTAAGTATGTACCACTACCACCCCTGTGTATGTCTTCTTAAACGTAGTGTTTTATTTTTTATAAGAAGCATAAGATACAGAAAAAATAATTTGTGGGCTGGAGAGATAGCTCAGCGATTAAGAGCACTGGCTGTTCTTCCAAAGGATTCAAGTCCAATTCCCAGCGCCCACATGGCAGCTCACAACTGTCTGTAATTCCATTTCCATGGGGATCTAACACACAGTGCAACAAGAACACCCATGTGCATAAAAGAAAATAATAATGGTTTGCAATTCCACTGCCAAAGAGAACATTTGGTATCAAAATGTTTTGTTACATACCCTCAATCTTTATGTACATACACTTTAAAAATATTTTATTACATACATTTATTTACTTATTTATGTAAATGGGCACAATCCCTCAGTACCACATAAACTGGGCATGGTAGCTCTCACCTGCTGGAAGCAGAAGGATCAAAAGTTTAAAGTTATACAACAAGATACAGGGCAGCCTGGACTCATTGAAACCCTATCGCAAAAGAAAGGAAAGCATTCCTTGCCTCTGAATGTATTCTGTGAGAAACTAACTGCCTACAGGTAGGAACAGGGCTACGTGTTTCTTCAGATTTTCTTAAGACCAGATAGCTTTCATATTCTGTTCTTACCTACCACAAAGAGTAAAGAGGAAATCAGCTGCTTTTCTCCTTCTGAAAAGGCTTTTTTTTTTTTTTTAAAGACAACTAACCTGATAAAGAATGTGCTAGCTCTGTAATTAAACTGTCTGACTTGTCATCTGGAAAGTAAGAGTTTGTAAGCAAAATACTACTTAGGTAGGGGTGGCAGGTTAAGTAAGGCTTACATTTAAAAACCTGTCTCCCGTGAGATGGCTGAAATACAGTGTTTTCAACTCTGTAGCCAGATGATGTGTACTACTGTGGACTGAAGTACATCAAAGATGACGTCATCTTGAACGAGCCTTCTGCAGAGGCCCCAGCTGCTCGCTACCAGACAATTGAGGAGAATATTAAGATCTTTGAGGAAGACGCAGTTGAATTCATCAGTGTGCCTGTACCAGAGTTTGCGGACAGCGACCCTGCCAACATTGTGCATGACTTTAACAAGGTGAGCCAGTGTCCTGGACTGTGAAGAGTGCAGGTTCTCTAGGATTTTTACAGTTTTAATTTTAGTAGTTGCTAAATTCTTGGGTTCCGGGTTTAGTTTTCATTGAAGAGAGAGGAGAGGGGAGAGTTGGAAACTCCAACCATGTGTCTCATTCCAGCACTGGGGAGGCTGAGACTGGAGGATTGCAACTTTGAGGCTGGCCTGGTCGGCCTGGTCTACGTAGTCAAGTGCTGTCTCAAATGAGATAAACAAAAATAGACTTAGGTTCCTCTCCTGGTGAGGCTTGGCCTTCTCACGCCTCGCTGCCTGTGGCGTGCCCGCTGATCACACCACATTCTTGATTTGTGATTTATAAGTTCTAAAGCTAGCCCACCTTAGAAGCTCAGTTGCTGTGTCTCTCAGGCATGCTGACCTGTCTGAGCCATGTCCCTCTTTCCAGAAACTCACTGCTTATTTGGACCTGAACCTGGATAAGTGCTATGTGATCCCTCTGAACACTTCCATCGTTATGCCGCCCAGAAACCTGTTGGAGCTGCTTATTAACATCAAGGTACCAAGTGCTTGCTGCTTCTGATGAGCGGTGTCGGTAGAGTGTCTCGAAAAGTTAACATTCTTGGAGCTCACTCTTCTAGAGTGTATGTAGCCAAGGGATTTACAAAAAAGTGCTGCAACTTGAGTGTTGTTTCTTTTTATTCGTAATGCTTTAAATTTTATAAATGAAATTTTAAAGAACATTCAGAATTGGACTGGAGAGATGGCTCAGCAGTAAAAGTGCTTGCCGTGCAAGCCTGACATTGTGTGCTCCATCCAGAAAGCTCTCCTCTGACATCCATGCTCAGGACTTCACATACTATACACATGCACACACACACATACACACTATACATGCACACACTACACACACAGACACTATACATGCATACACATACATAACAAATGATAAATAAAATGGAAAGTTTTTAAATGTTAAAATTTTAGCACATTTAAATTTTCCTAAAGTACTAGAAAATAGCTATTAACCATCTACTCAGTTCTGATGCCTCTGAGTTGGCCATGGCTATATTGTAACAAAACTGTATGTATTGCTAGGCACGGTGATCCATGCCTATAGTCATTCCTGGGAGGCTGAGGCAAAACAGCTGGCAGAGTCTGAGAATTGAAGACCAGCTTGGGAACAAAGCAAGATTCCAATTCAAAAACCAAGGCTGTATTTATAAAAGCAGACAGTTAAATATCCATAAACCCTGTTTTAAAACTGTCACCTACGAATTTTGTCTGACATTCAATTTGCTCAGTGCACATTTGGAAAGTTCCATGTCACATTTTTCCCCCGCAGGCCGGGACCTATTTGCCTCAGTCATACCTTATCCATGAGCACATGGTGATTACTGACCGCATCGAAAACGTGGACAACCTGGGCTTCTTCATTTACAGACTGTGTCACGACAAGGAAACCTACAAACTGCAGCGCAGGGAAACCATTAGAGGTAAAGAAAGTCAGATAATTCCTATGACACTTGGGTGAGAAATAAATTAAAGGGAACCTGTGTCACGCTTGGTTAGTATTTCCAGGATTTAAAATCATTGGAGTCCCAGACCCACTCTTTCCAGATAGAAACAATCAGTCAGCCTGAAATGCCATTGCCTTGGGATGCCCACTCCTCAGTTTGACTTTTCATCCTCACCGTGGCCTGGCCACAGGAGAGAGGAGGTCTCATTCTCGAGAAGCCTCTCTTCAGCCTCACACTTGGACTCTTAGAGATCTGAGTTCTCAATTCACCTTGTGGCTCATGCTGAGGCTAGTCATAGCCAGGTGACTTAGGAGGACGTGTAGGTAAGGAGTGCAGAGCCCTGACATGACCTGTGCAGATCTCCTGTCACTAAGTCTTGTTTTTCCTCTGAACAGTAAGCATAGCAGCATGTGCCCATTATAGATGCAAAGCAGAAGTGATGGTTCACAGTGTCCATCTGCAGCCTGACTTCTGTGGGATTGCGTCACCCAGCACAAATGCTTGCCTGGTCTTTTCCAATATTTGTAATGACATTGTTCTCACCTCAGGCTGATGAGTCATCTGAAGCCTACCACTTGATTTTTTACATTTAAGTTACTATCTTGGCTCATAATTTTCTAAAACCAATTTGACAGAATGAAGTTTGTCTCTCCTGGTGTGCAGTTCTGCAAGCATATATAGGCATGTGACTCTACTCTATGTAACTAGAATATTTCCCACACCTTTGAGTGCATATATCTGTGTCTTAGGGTTTCTGTTGCTGCAACAAAACACCATGACCAAAAAGCAAGTTGGGAAGGAAAGGGTTTATTCAGCTTACACTTCCACATTGCTGTTCATCACCAAAGGAAGTCAGGACTGGAACTCAGACAAAGCAGGAACCTGGAGGCAGGAGCTGATGCAGGGACCATGAAGAGGGTGCTGCTTACTCCAAGTCCCCATGGCTTGTTCAGCTTGCTTCCTTATAGAACCTAGGAACCTGGTGCCCAGGGATGGCACCACCCACAATAGGCTAGGCCCTCCCACACCAATCACTAATTAAGAAGATGCTCTACAGCTAAATCTTATGAAGGCATTTTCCAAATTATGGTTCCTTCCTTACAGATGACTCTGGTTTGTGTGTCAAGTTAACCCAAGACTAGGCAGCATGTCTGTAAGCCGTTTGTAAAGCACTGTTACCAGTTGCTAGGAGATATGAAAAGGCCCAGTGGAGAACAAATTTAAAATTATGGGATGGATATAGAGTAGTGGCATGCTTCTTTATGTCTAAAGAGTAACTGTGAGGATTGATGTAAGTATTTGTTACTAAACAACTAAAAACAAAACCCTTTTCCTTTCCAAACAGGTATTCAGAAGCGTGAAGCTAGTAACTGTTTCAGCATTCGGCATTTTGAGAACAAATTTGCTGTGGAAACTTCAATTTGTTCTTGAGAAGTCAAGAAAAACCGTGGGGAGAAATTCAATGCCACAGCATACCCTACCCCTTTGTATTTTGTGCAGTGATTGTTTTTTAAAATCTTCTTTTCATGTAAGTAGCAAACAGGGCTTCACTGTCTCTTCATCTCAATAATTCAATTAAAAACCATTATCTTAAAAAAAGAAAACAAAACCTTTCTTTTTTCTAAGTGTGGTGTCTTTGATATTTGAATTAGCAAATATTCGGGTTCCTAGATAAGATTCGCTTCTCCATAGAGCTTATATACTAGGAAGAATCTAAATTTCTTGAAATCACTAATCTGGATTTTTGTGTTAATTCTGCACTTCCATGAGGAAAGGCTACCTAAAAAGTAGTCATTCACATACGTTAAAAGGACCACAGTGACTTGCTTGTAGATGCTAGTAGCCCTGCTGCCTTGTCTGTTAGCATTTGAGATCACCCTCTAATATTACTTTAATTAAAATGTGCAGTATTTCCATTGTTGCTTTAACTACTTTAGAGGATTTCAGCCTTGATGTTTTAATATCCTAGGCCTCTGCTGTAATCATATTTTAGACAAATGTTTGGAATTTAAGAAGCAACTCATGTTACTAATTTGTATAGCCCATATCTGTGCAGTGGAATATAAATATCACAAAGCCGTGTGATGAGACTGTGCGTTGTTTTTCCCATAAAATAAAACCAAAGAAGTAATTTGGTTCTCCATATTTTAAGGTAATCCACATACATAAAGAATGAAACTATTTTATAAAGTCTAATTCTCTAAATACAGCTATAAAATCAGCTTTTTTAAAAAAAATAAAATAAAACAAGCCATTAATTACTAAATCAGATTCCTTGTGGATGCTGTTGCAGTGACTCTGAGGGCGAGCCTGACCGACGCTGCTTCATAGGAAGTGGGTCTTCCATTCAGTGGACGGTTATTATCGAATCTAAGATGTGGAACTAAGTGGTTGTTCTCAGTCCGTTCTGCTTTGTTCTTCAGACACAATCTCACTATGCTGTTGAGACTAACAATCTCCAGGCATCAGCCTCTAGTAGCAGAGAGATAGACATGTACACAGTACCTGGCAAGTTAAAGATGGGATTTTTGTTATTTCAGTTTTTGAGACTTGATCTCAATCTGGAAACTAGGCTAACTTGGAACTCATCTAATCAGGCCAGTCTCAAACTCAGGATGATCCTCCTGCCTCAGCTTCCAGGGTGCATAGCCACCACACCTAACTTGTATCTCTGAGGTTGCTTCTTACCTGAAAGAATTCAGAATCCACTACATGTAAAACACCTGAGAGAGTAGGGCTGGAGCGGTGGCTCAGAAGTCAAGAGTGCTTACTGCTGTTCTGGAGGACCTAAGTTCAGCTCCCAGCACCCACTTTGCGCGGCTCACACATGCCTGTAAATGCAGCTCTGGTCATCTACCACCCTCTTCTGGCCTCCACTGCCACCTGCACACAATGCAACATACACAGGAACAAAAAGAAGTAATACTAAGAGCAGTTTTGCTATAAATTCCTGAAACAATACATTTCAATTCTGACTAGGTTTTTAAATTTCAAAAGTCCATAAAGGATTTGGTTTGGGAACCGGTCGTTGTTCAAGAGGAGGTTTTGCAACTCCTGTCTCTATTTTATTTCAGTAACACTACCAGAGCTTTAGTACAGCTAAGTGGATGTTTAAGGATTGAGAACTTACTTTAGAAGAGAGGTTTTTTAAATTGAGAACTACATTTTCCTACCTTCTAGGCTTTAAAACTTCATGGCTTTTCAGGGGCCTATGAACACTCAGGAGCAGATACTGAGTCCCATAATGGGCCAACACATGCAGTTACATAGATTCCTTAGTTAAATGTAGAGATCGATTCCACTCAAAGGAAAAAAAAGTATGGTGTCTGGGGATCTTTATAATCCAGTAAGTGAGTAATGAGTAGTCATCCAGTTACAGTTTGTTATGATAATTACTGGACAGACCTTCAACTAAACATTCTTATGATCTGTGAATCTTAAGCACCTTGAAGGTGCTAGACAAATGCAATCACTGAGATAGAGAGACCCATCCTTCTTATATACCGCCTTCAGGCTATCATTTGGGAATCCATGGGCATTCCTTAGGGTTTGTAGTTGATAGAGGCTTGTAAGTTTGTTCTTCCATTTACCGTAGTGCACCATTAGGGTGGCAAGCTGAGGTAACAACCCCAGCTTCTCACTGACTCACACAGTATGAGTTTGCCTGCAGTCAGCACGGTGAGCTCCAACATAAGGTTTCATTGGAATGGTTTAAGAATTTCATACAGTCCTAGTCAAACGCTTGATAGCACAGAACATTTACAACCATTGATTTGGCTGGATCAGACTAGCAGGTTGTCCCTGACTTTCCATTACTATCACGTCAGTCAAGTAGAGTTCCCCAAGTCAGGAGCGATGGTGTGTGCCTGTAATCTCTGCACTTGGGAAACTGAAGCAGGATGATTGTGAGTTCAAGGTGATGTAAACCACATGCTGAGAGCTTTAAAGAAAGAAAGGGGAGAAGAAAAGGGGCTCTCATCCACTCTTGGCCAGGTGTCTCCCTCCCAGGAATTTGAGAATTCCTAGCTGTGGTTCTGGCGGATGCCATTTGATCTCAGGTTCTGTGGTGGAGCCTTGTAAAAGCTAAAGAGTGAATGGCTGCTGGTTTCCAGTTTGCAGGGGGACCGCTGTCCTTCCTGGACCTCGAGCTCTCTTTGTAGGTGGGATGCTGTAGTGAGATACAGACTAGTGAGTGACTTATCAACAACAGGGTATTTGATTCTTACAACTGCAGGTTGGAGGTCCAAAATCAAGGTCGTCAACAGGAAGCACCCACTGTTCTCTCTGGACCCTCTGCTGTAAGGACACTGGTTCCAATCATGTGGGCTCTACCCATGTGACCACACAAAGGCCCCTTCCCCTAGTGCCATTGACACCGTGGAGGTTAGTATTTCAACATGACATTTGAGTGTGGCCAAGTCAGAATAATACAGTTCTGATCATGAGCGGAACCCTAAATGGCTGTATGTAAAGGCTCAAGGTGGACCTAGGCCTGCCCCATTTGTAGTATATCCTGTTCGCTTCTGTGTGAGAAAGAGCACAGAAGTTAGAAAACTGATGGTTAGGACTTTGATTGCTCATCTGTGACAGAGGAATGAGAGACTCTGGTTCAAGAGGTGACTGGTTAAACCGTGACTAGCAATGTCTTGTATTAACTGTACAATTGTTGGCAGTCTACGCTGGGTTTTAACCCCAGCAGTACTATGATGAGCAAGTAAATGAGGATTTTTTCTTTTAAATGTGTAAGTTTTTCATTGCATTTCCTGACTGACTTTTTTTTTTTTAATATACCAATTTTAGTAAATTGGATGAAGGGGAAAAGCACTCAGTTATCTGAGTGGTATTTATCCAAATGCCAGCAGTAGGAGTATACAGTTTAAAGAAACTCAAGGATGGTCTAATAATACAACCAAAATCAAGTGGATTATTGGAAGGAAACAGTACAGATTCTACGTTTGAATATGCTTAGGAGCTCTTTCTGGCTGAGCTTAGGATTCTAGTAGGTGCACCTTTAATAGTTTAGTATTTTTGAGACTCCTTCCACTGAACATAGCTTGTAGCCCAGGTGTCTGTAAATTATTCTGTGTTGGGCTCTAATTCTGGCATGTTCAGGTATTCCAGGCTCTGTTTCCTAAACAAGGACTTCAGCATGTCTATTTAGAAAAAGGACAGCCCTTTACGCTATATTACTCCAAGAATTACCACATTTTTTCTCTTTTGGTCTTTGTAGTTAGTGCTTACTTGAGTAAGGCATAGTTCAGTGTCTGTTCCCCATTGATCCCCTCAAGCTTTTGTAATGTTGAAAACGTCAGTGAGAACACCTTTAAGACTTTGAACGACTTACTGAGCTGTGAAGCCATGAATGGAAATGTTTTCTGATGCGGTTTATGTGTCCACTGGGACGTGCTTCACATTCTCTTGACTTTCTGTGGCAGATTAAATGTAAGTGGTAGCGACAGGAGTGGGTTCCCTAGAACTACAAATCCAGAACAGTGGCTCAAAGCTGGATAGTCCCTGGCTTTTTTACTTGTATTACATACATAGTTTCATGGGTTTCTATATTTAATCAAACTTTTACTAAGAAAAAAAAAGTTCAGAAATACTAAGAGTGAATGCTACCCTGTGTTCACCAGAAATATGCTTGAGAAGGCCAAGCCAGGGCTAGAGAGATGGCTCAGCAGGTGAGCATGCCTGTGCTCCTGCAGAGCACATATGTCAGGTCCCAGCACACACAGTGGTTCACAATGGTCTGAACCACTATGGAACCATCCTTCCAGGGGATCCAATGCCCTCTTCCGGTCTGGGGCACTGTTTATACTTGATACACAGATGTATGTGCAGGCAAAATAGTCATATCCACATAAAATTAATCTTTAAAAAGGCCAAGCCAGAAAATTCATCCTCAGATAGTCACCAAATCCTCCATCTGCAAAGAACTTCCTAAGCTGCTACAGCTGTGGCTCAACCCACTTCAACACACATGCTGTTATAATCTTTTTTTTTGTTTTTACAAAGTAATCTTCTATTCAAATCATGAATCTAACATTGCTAACATTGTATCTGCCCTAGTTTAAAACATTTTCTCAGCCTCTGGTTCCTATAGTGAAAGCAAGTACAATCCAGTCCCAGCCCATACTCTAGCCACATATCAAACACTCCTTTGCCCTGAGCACCCACCCTGATACAAGGTGTCTTAGAGTTTCTTGGTAAATGATCTTTTCCCCTGAAGCCGTTTTCCATCTGTTCCCCTCCTGTTGTGTGGCATTCTTCCTGGGGAGATAGAAACAAATGTCTACTCACTGCAGATAGGAAACTGACAATAGACCAAAGTAAAGATATCATTAAAGTCCTACTTGTTAAACCAATAAGTTCTATTGGAGTTTCTTACAAGAATATGGGTGAGGAGGAGGAGAAGCAGGAGCTTATAGGAGCAGAAATGACTCTAAGAAAGCTGTGTCACCAGAGCCCACTCTGGCATGGGTGACAGCTCACAAAATCTGGGAACCTGAAACACTACATAGCTTATAGGTACCTGATAGGTTGGAGAGTGCCCTTTCCAGGTGGCTTAGTTAGTATGAGCCTCTTCCAGGCAGCTCAGCTGGTCTCTATCCCTTTAAGGTAGCTTGGCTGGTCTGAGAGTATTTCTTAGGTGCCCTAAATGCTTGTAGATGTTTGAGGATGGAGGAGCCTGGTGACTATGATCAGTTTCAGGGATTTCCTGAAACTAGTGAGTTGTTCACTTTTGAGTTTAAAGTGCTTCCCTGCTAGTTGGAATGTTTCCCCTCCCCTTAGAGCACCCTGATGTTTCATGCCCCATTAACATCCGGCTTCTTAAGGAACTTCTGCCAAAGAACAATGGTTCTATCTCAAAGGAAGTTGTTACACAAAACCATGCTCTAGAGGTAGCATATACTTCAACCTTCGAAATTTGTTCACTTGACTTCCTTTGTGGACCAATGGTAAATATCCTGTCTCTCAGTGTCATTAACACCACATGTTTTTCTTTTGTGGCATTTAATATGATAAACATTTTTAATATATTAATGCCAAGATACCAGTATCTTGTTTTCTGTTTTGTTGATGCTTACTCTCATGCCTGATAGGCATATGCTATAACATCCACTCCACTGCTGACCCCTAGCTTCCACTATCTTGGTCAAGTGCCTTGCACATAACTCATATTTATTGAATGAATTATTCCTTCTTGACTCCCCCAGTGTGCACACACCAAGTTATTTTCCTAAGTCTACTTCTGAAAATGTAGAT